AGAGAATAATAATAATATGCATATTCTCGATGTAGATCCTGCGAAGTGAAACAAATGAAATATGAATCGATGCTTGTGCTTGCTATCTGTTGTTAATCTCCGGCCCTTTTTCTGTTTTCTGCATTATAGACATGCTTAATGCATGAGTATAAATTTGTGAAAGAAAGAAACATATGAACAATAAAAAAGTATACAAGGAACTATAATTATCGAGGAATTTTAGGAATTAATGTTTCTGGCATAGCAAAACATAATAAAAGAAAGGCAACTGTGCCAAAAGTAGATAGTGCCATGAATCCATATTGAAAACCGTAATGTTGGGCAATAGTTCCATTCACCGAATTGCTCAATGTATAACCAATTCCAGAGCAAACAGCAAGTGCACCGAGTAGAAGATTAAAACGACCAGTGCCATGTGCTAAATCAGCAATCACTAAGACAATAACCACAGCATAGGTAGCAGCGGCAATACCATCGAGAATTTCTGCAGTAATCAAAAGTATTGGATTATGTGTTAGTAAACAGACCATTCCACGCAAGGGCACGACTGCCCAGCCAATAAGTAATAACGGTTTACGACCCCAAATGTCTGCTAGACGACCAACCCATGCAGCTAATAATGCGCTAACTAGTTGAGTGACGACTACACATGCTGACATAAAGAGAGACGATGCACCTGGTGAACGATCTCGTGCTAATACTTGAACCATCGTTGGAAGCATCGAGGCATTACCAAAATGAAATAAGATCACACAAGAAAATATAATTAAAAGACGTCGATCACGAATAATTAATAATAATAATTCTTTAAAACCAATCACACTCATGCCAGTTTCTACTTTTCCTGCTGCACGACTGCGTTCATAATTAATTTCACTTTGACGAATGCAGAAAAGAGCAATAAGAGTTGGAATAGAAACACCAATAACAAAGAAAAAAATCGATTGAGTGGAAACATAATAACCGAGTAATCCCATAATCACCGCTGACACTACATTACCTGCGGCACTAAATGCTTGATTACGACCGATACGTGTGCCAAGAGATGGACGTCCGACAAGACCAAGAGAGATTGCCGAAATAGCTGGGCAAAATAAAGGTTCCACAATACCTAACATAATTTGACCAAGAACAACCAGCCAAAATATTGGCCAGAAGGCAAATATTAGTGCAGTAATAGGAATAACTATGACACCAACAGTGATCAGTACTTTCTTATTATGAACACTATCGACCACTGCACCCATTGGAAGTTGTGATATCATAGTAGTAAAACTCGAAGCACTCAGAGCGAAACCAATACGCTGTGGTCCCCAACCTTTGCCGGTCAGATAGGCAGACAAAAATGAATCAACACCATTGAGAACATCGGATAAGAAAAAATTGAACCAATCGAGTCCATATTGACTGCGTCGTGAAGGTTGTAAATATACCTCAGACGAATGGACATCATCTTCTAAAAGTACAGCTTGTTCTCCGATTGATCTTTCCAAACTATTGACACTTTTCATTATCTAATAAAATATAAAAAATAAATTGATAATTAACATTACCAGAAATTATTATCTTGCGTTTATAGCTGTGCATAGACATTAACATGTGTTTGACGCACGTGGACGTGTATACACACAATTTTTTGATCCTCATACATTTCTCTTTTCAATCGTCGAGAGAACGAAAAACATCAAAAAAATCTTGTATGTGTCAGATTTAATACAAAAAATACATAGACATATTTTGTGCAGTACAAAATTTTATCAGAAACTTACTTTAGAACAGAAAGACGAAATTCTTCATCATACTCCACAACTTTAAACGTTTCTACTGAGTATTCTTTTTCTTCTATTCTTCAGACAAAGTTTGTTCTAAGGGCAAACCAGTAGAAACACACATATGATTTTAACGATGAGTCATATTCTTTTTCTTTCTTTATATCAGTGAAACCTACCACTTTTTTCCTCAAACACTGGTATCTCTTGTTTGACAATGAAAGCAAAAAACATACTCTTTATTGAAAATATTGAAGTACTAAGATAATATGAAAGCAAAGCAAAAAACATTGACAAAAAGCCATAAGAATATACCATTGAAGAAATAAATCTGTCATTAAAAATTTGCAATTCATATTTCAAATCTACCATGTCGTTGACTAAGAGCAAGTACTGTCAAAACAAAACTTTCTTCGTATGATGCTTTCGATTTTTGACTTAAATATATCTAAACAGAAAGTAAAAACAATTCTAATCTTCCTCAGAAAATACATTTCTCTTATTTGATTCAATGCTTCTAATAATTGATCAATTTTCTCTGGAAAACGTTCAAATGGATCATGATATTCAGATCTCTTTCTTCTTACATTTCCCATTCGTCTGACTTCTTTATTCCTAAACACAAATCATTTCTACATATCGAACGAGAAAAATGTTCTATACAAAACCTGTCCATCATATAAATTTCTTCTACATAAATGCAAACATCTAATCATCTGTAATATATGATCATTGACTCATTTTTCTTGCTCTTCGAAAACTATTACTAATAACAGATATAAACATGGTCATTCTGATAAAAACAACAAAAAAAAATAATGTAAAACATAATGGACCAAGAAAAGCATTAGCTACGCTAAGGGCGTCGGTGTGGGTATCAGTGAACAGACGATAAAAACTCACACTCACACCCCGCATACTTTCAATATTACAAAACAATTTTCCTCTAAAAATCTGATCTTCTTGACAGAATAGATTCAATCTGATGAATTTATGTTTATTTTCTTACTCTTTAACAGTGAACGCACTTGTTGATCAGTTATGAATAATAGAAAAAAAAATAGAAGAAAATCGTTACATTGAAGATGACAATCACAAATATGAAGAAGTTCTTGACGATCGACATCTACAGTGTCACACTGGATGACAACTATTTCCTAGAAAAGTGAAAGACCACTCGTCTATTATCAGCAACCACCGTAGGAAGATGGTTACATCTCCTATTTATCGAACATTGATCATATTGAGACATTCACCGAATCTCTCGAGAAAATCCATTAATAAATGAAATATGTTAGACTAAAATAATGGTGTGGGTGTGGGTGTGGGTGTGGGTGGGGTGTGAGTGGGTGTGGATGTGGGTGGGGGGTGGGGTGTATGTGGGTATGGGGTGTGGCTGTGGCTGTGGCTGTGGGTGTGGGTGTGTGGGTGAGGCTGTGGGTGAGTACGGATGCGTATGCGTGTGTGCAGCTGCATGTATTGTTCGTCGCATCATACCCACGCAACAATCACATTCACACACACCCACATCCACCCACACCTGCACCCACACCCACACACTTACACCCACACCCACACCCACACCTACACCCACCCGCACCCACACCCACCTACACCCACTCACACCCACACCCACACCCAACATAATTCCATTGATTTTATTCTAAGAGAAATGACAACAGGAAACAAATCAAACTTATGCTCAATCAGCAAGAAATTGCCAGGAATACGCTTTTGCTTTGGATGTAATACGTCTTTTTGCCCAAAGGACTTCAGAGAACATGAAAAACAATTAGCAATTGGGTGTGGGTGTGTGGTGTGGATGTGAGTGTGGGGTGCGATGGTTGAGGGTGTGTAAGTATTGATCTTTTCACTACACTCACGTCGACACCCACACTCTCTACACTCAACCCACGCCTCAGACCCACACCCTCCGTTTTTAGTCAGATATTATTTGTGAGTGCACAGAATCCAATTTTTAAAGCCTAACTACAATATTTCGAACGGCTTTTTCGGCTTCTTTGAGTTCTGGATGTTCAGCTGGTAGCGTATGTTGTCGAATTTCCAAAGCCTTTTGATAATATTGCCAGGCTTGTGAAAAGTCTCTTTTCACTTCATATACACGACCAATATTATAATATGTTAGGGCCAGAGAAGGATGAGAAGGTGGCAAAGACTTCGAATAGATCGATAGAGCTCGTTCATAATACTCTAATGCAATATCGACATTACCAAGATCAGAATGAACTGCACCGATGTTGTTGTAAGCCAAAGCAATGTTACTATGATATGCATGCAAGAGTTCTTGGGAAATGGCACGTGATCGTTCGTAGAAGTGAAGCGCTTCGGAGTAGTTTCGTTGTTTATGATGAATAACGCCTATATTATTATAAAGGAGTCCCATAGTTGGATGATGTTCATCTTGTGCTTCTTTGAAAATGAATAATGCTGTATTGTATGAATTCATTGCTTCAACATAGTCTTCTTTCTGGCGGTACGCTTCGCCAATGTTGTTATACAAGTTACCAATGGCCACATGATTGGGTTTGTCAATTTGAGTGTAAGCCAGCAATGCTTCATTATACCAGTGGAGACTTTCAGAATAATTACCCTTATCACTATATACCAAACCCAGATTCAAGAATGCTGACCCAAGATTCGGATCACTCGCAGAAAATTCCGCAATGCCACGACGAAGATATTTTTCAGCGAGATCATATTTACCCATTTTCCATAGAAGAAGTCCGAATGAAGAAATGTTCACTAGAGAGTCCTCATTTGCAGCCTGTATCTCTTCAATCATTCCACTCAAATGATGATCACTATCATCGAATAATGTCATATGAATACACCATCCTTGCCCAACGCCACGATGGCTGACATTATTGATACGAAAGACGCAGCCCAGCATAAAAAGAACTTCGCATTCACCAGCAAAATCGCTTTGTGAACTAAGTTCTGCAAACGGCTTATTGATAACAACTTGAGGATCAGCATCGATCTCGAATAGTACACGCTGCAATCCACTTGAAGTCCTAGCATTATTCTGATAGCATATAGCTTGTTGTTCTAGAAGACTAGCCGAGAGAAATGAACTAAATGAGATCAATTTACCAATGGATCGTTTGAGACGTTCCACTTCCGTGTTCGTCATTAATTGACCTCGATACACACGAAGCGGACATTGACATTGATACTGAGTCATTTGCCGATGAATATCGGCAATAAACCAACGAAAACTGAATAGTACATCGAAATCTTGGTTGCGCAAAGCCTTATTTAGCATTTTGTATAGAAATGATTCTCGAGTATACCACCAGAGTGCTTTGTTAGGTGAATAGTTTTGTTCAAACTCGTTGATAAACCATTCCTCAACCTCTTGGCCTCTGTACTCTTGTTTACAAAGAGAGATCAACTCACATTTATCGTTATCATCTGATTTTAATCGAAGGAGAATATTAATGAGTACTAAAAAATGAACATATTGTCCATCGAGACTGGTTGTCGATTGATTATTAATGAAGATATCAATCGGATGGAGTTCATTGATTTCCTTCTTTATCGAACCGTTGAGATCGCCACGTATTCGATCAAGTAGCTCGCTAAGTTCTACTATCACTGCTTTTATCTACATCAAAAAGCACTTAACGAATGAAAACAAAATATGCAATATGTTTACTTTTGTATATTGCTGAGCCCATACTTCATATTTCTGCTTCTCGGCACAAAAAATATATATAGATATGATTTGCTTCAACAAATGAATGTGTGGAACTATTGGACGACCAAGGTTACCGCTAACAATAAATACAATTTGATGATTGGCTGGAAGTCTCTGAATGTATTCTTGACATTCATGCGGATTATCAAACGTTCGAACATTGTTGTTAATGTCGCTAAGTTGTTGTTGTGCTCGAAGATTATCTTCGGTAATATTGACTTTGACATCGAGCCAGACGATAGATTTTACCACATTGGCTTTCGTTTCATAGATTTTTGGAGCACGTGTTGTTACTACATTAGCTGATTTTTCTCGAATGGAATACGACCCACCCATGTGCGTTTGTTTATTAAACTGATTTCTGTTTGACAATCTTTCTACCAACAGGTAACCACAGTGATAGTGATTATTAAAAGTAAAATGTTTTCTTTCTTTCATTGTGCGCACCTCACTTTTTTCCAACTTGAGTGTTTGTTGAAATCAAAATCACAGTTGAAGAAACGAAAGAACAGAACATGCCACAAAAAATTTCATCAAAATAATGGTATTGCTTGGCAAAAACTTTATATAATTCTCCTTGTTCTTTATTACGACACATGCATTTTTACTGTAATAAGTGAAGATTCGAAAGTAGTTCTATACTTATTCTGGTAAATTGTTTAACATGAAGTGAACCCATTGCCTCCTATAGACGAGAGTGTGGGTGTGTGGGTGTGAGTATGGATGTGGATGCCGGTGTGGGTGTACACTCTAAAAAAAAAGCGTTTTCTCAGAAACCGAAACCCCTTCGAAAACCCTTTCCAAAACCCTTGAACGTATCCGGAAAGGTTTCCGGACTCATGTTAAGTTTCTGAAAATACCTTCAGGGTTTCCGAGTATCCGAAAACCTATGGGTTTTCGAAATATAGGTCCGCAAACCCTCAAGCGTATTCTCAGAAACCCTGGTACTCTTTTTGAAAACCGAAAGTTATCCCCGGAAACCTTCTCTGATTTAAAAACCTTCTCAAAAACCTTTGCGTTTCCGATAATTTTTTTATCGAAAACGTTTTTGGGTTTCCGAGCATCAGAAACGGTGGAAGCGTTTCCGAAAAATTGAGCATGGTTTCCGAACATCTATTGGAAACCCTTGCGTTTCCGAAAAAAATCTCGAAAAACCTATCCAGTATTCTCAAACACAGAAATAGCATTCGGATATCTTCTTTTTGATTCTTATGTTACGATCGCTATTTTAGAAGTGTAGGAATTGCACGGGATGCATGATATAAACCTTATTCAATTTATGTGGAATTGTTGTGTAAAATCATTAGAATCCTGAGAATTCAAAAGAAAATACATTGTTCCTGAGAAAATTTCGACTTGTTTTTACATCTTTCAATACCTAAAAACTTGAATAGATGACGACAAATTTTCCTGTGGGGATCGAAGAGCTGCATTAAATTGCTAGATGAATCAAAGAATGCCGTCTTTCTCCTTCTTCATTCATTTATGTTTGATCCAAGTACAGGCATTATCATCCTTATCAACAGATTGCAACAGAATATAGTGCAAGTTTCAGCCGTTTGAGGATCCTTTCAACCGAATTATACAGAAGATTGATAGGAGAGGAATGATGGAAAACATGAAGAAATCTTCATTTGCGAGAGTTACATATACGGTCGAAAGGAGAAGATGATACAATGACAGAACGAAAAAGATGCGCTCCTTGTGGGACTCGAACCCACACCTTCTGCTATCCGGGCAGATGTCCTAAGCCAGTTAGACTAGAAGAGACGATGTTATTTTCTTTTTCGTCTTAGATCGTCATTCTATGTGCACGATCTAACAGTGAGAGAATGTAAGACATACTAGATGTCTCGAAGTGTTTGCAACATAATTTATTCTCCATATATCTCCACTAGAGATTTGCGTGACCAATTTGTCGTGACCAAAAAAAATAAAGATTATTCGATAATAGTTCCGTGATGGATGTGGAAAAATAACTCTACTTGATATTTTGTGTTCAGAATTTTATGCTCTTTAAAATGACATAAAAAAGTCGAGGATATAATGATCCACAGTGGGAGAAAACTGCAGCACATCCGTCGTGACCAGAAAACGTCGTGACTGGCCGTGACCAAAACTGGTTACGACGAATGTGCTGCAGTTTTCTCCGCTGTGGATCATTATATCCTCCACTTTTTTATGTCATTTTAAAGAGCATAAAATTTTGAGCACAAAACATCAAGTAGAGTGATTTTTTCACGTCCGCCATGGGAACTATTATCGAATGATCTTTGTTTTTTTTGGTCACGACAAATTGGTCACGCAGATCTCTAATCTCCACAAATGTACATGATAAAATCTTAAATTTTTTCAAATTATACGTCGTGATATTCTGTACGATAGTCAAAATAAAAGATCCTCTTGGTTTGTGCTAATAGATTTGGAGTAAGCCAAAAGAAAAGATGTATCAGATGTGGTTGTTTCGCACTTTCATACCGATTTAAGCACTTTAAAAAAAACACATTTACTATCCAAATCAAATCATATGCACAAAAACTCATTTCTGAATACCATCATCTCAATAAAGTGAGCATTTTCAGTTCGAAAATAGTCGGAAAGAATGAAAGGTCTGCGAAATGTGATTGTTGTGTAGATGAAGAGAAAAAACAAATTCTGGACAGTGAGAAACTATAAATTCTCATACGCTTTGCCTTTTAGCTCGCTCCAAATCTATTAGCACAAGTCACAAGAATTTCTGCGTTCACCTATTAGAGAGAATGCCATGAGCTATCGTTTCAAAAATAAGTTGATGTTTTCATGAATCGTCTGTTTGAAGACAAACAAAATAAAATATCTTGGAAGCTTTCTGAGAAAAACGGTAGATATGTATTTCTTCACACCGCAATATGCAGTTTTTCCAACTGATCCAGTTAATAATCCGAAAAAAGCGAACACGAAAACTGCAATTCACCGGTAACAAAACTAAAGACACCAACATTCTGCCTTCGACATCAATACGGAAACCAGAAGTCAAACTGCATTAAAGACTTTGACTTCAATACGCAAAAAACTTTCACCACTATAGGACTCCCTTGACTTGATGACTCTGAGTTCGACAGAACATAAGACCTCATGACATTACTAACTTCCTAGCACTGGCTTTGAGAGACATGAAGACTTGAAATCTTTAACTGACTTCATGACGATAGCTTTGAGAGATGTCAAGACTCTAACAAACAAGACTGACTTTACGACTCTTAGTCAAAAAAACATACACACTCGATGACTAAGACTGACTTTGTGATTATGACTTTCAGATACAGAAAGAAAGCAGGACTAAGACTAACTTTTTCACTCAGTCTTTCACACGAAGACATAAAGACTATAGCAATAAGACTGACAGAACGACATCTGTTTTCCGAGACATGAAGACTCCAGAACTCAGACAAAATAAATGACATTCTATTTAGGAGATGTCGAACTTCCACCAATTTAGCGGGCTTCATGACCGTGAATCTGAACAACGAGAACACTGGAGGGATCTCATTAAGTTCATCTCTCCGTCTTTCAAAAGATTCACCATTTTGACTGACATCATGTCTAACTCCTAGACAGATTTAAAAATATTAGGACTACAACGGACAATATGACTCTGGAAATAACATTCGTCTACACTACGACACTATTACCAGTTCCATGACACTCACTTTAACAGACATGAACAATCAAGAACTTTGACGAAATTCATGAGTTTATATTAAGGAGCTATTCCACTCTATTTATACTACGGCCACATCTTCACAAATATCAAACTCAAATCGACATGTAGGAGTCAAATTACGAAGTTACAATCACTCGACACATATAGATTACCGACTTACACCAACACGATGCTATAAGGGGTTACAATAACGGGATACAATAACGCATTAGATATAGAATAAGGAGCCAGATAAAGGGGATATATGTATTCCACAGAATCAGCAGGCAGATATACATTAAGCACTTAGATTACGCGCTACAATGAGGCAATAGAATAAGGGCTAAGAATAAGCGGAAAGATATACATTAAGGGCATAGATCAGGGATAAGCATAAGCGGTTAGATTAAGGAGTTAGATTGACAGAATAGAATCAGCGGTCAGATTTAGGGATAGAATAAGGGTTAGATTAAGGGATATAATAAGGGGTTAGATTAAAGGGATAGATTCAGGGGCTAGAATAAGGTGATAGAATAAGGGGTTAGATTAAGGTGATACATTAAGAGGTTAGGTTAAAGGGTTAGAATAAAGGGATAGATTAAGGATAGAATAAGGGAATAGATTAAGGTCATAGATTAAGGAGATAGAATAAGGGGTTAGAATAAGGGGTTAGATTAAGGTGATAGATTCAGGAGATATATATAGATTAAGGGATTAGAATAAGGAGCTAGATTAAGGCGATAGATTAAGGGGATAGAATAAGGGGCTATATATAGATTAAGGAGTTAGAATAAGGGGTTAG